AGTGACCACAAAAAAGAGATCAATGCATTTATCATATATAGTCTAAAAATCTGAGCGCGTTGGACCGTAGGATAGCACAATAGCGGTGGAGGTGGCGACGAGGAGAGGAATGAGGCAAAAATCAACAGAGTAAGAAAGACCAGAAAGCAGCAGCAGCGGCGGCGGCGGCGAGGGGGAGGGCAAAGAATAAGACAAAAGAAACCGAAACGTTCCTCGCAGCCAGACTGATCTCTAGGAAGAGAAAGACGGTCCAGAACGCAAACGCACGAGGGGGGAGGGGTGGGTGCGGAGGAAAAAGGTAATACGGCAGAGGACTTAAAGAAGATCACAGTTTTCGTGCCAGCAGCAGCAGGATCAGACACAGCAGGCATATCAGGGAACCGGATGCCTGCTGGCTCCCCGCGGACAGCGAAGCACACGTATACAAAAGTGGGGTGGGGGGCGGGGGGGGGGGCGCAGCGGCCCTTGTCTGTACGTAGGCACGCCAAAACACACACACACACAGACACTGGTGATGCCGTGGCCGCTTGTGTGCCCGTGAAAAGGGAAGAGGTTGGAGGGGGCAAAGCGCAATTTTGGGTGACGCGCTGGAAGGCCGTGCAACCGAATCCGCAGACACCAGCGGGAGAGGATAGCGCGGGTGACCATGGGGTCTGGGTTAGGAGCCGCGCTAAATGCCACAGAGAAAAGGAGTGGGGAAGGGGGGGGGAAGGTGTTTTACTGGGCTTGAGAGAGTAAGGTGCGTCGGGCGTGCTTGTGTGTGGTTTTGCTGATGATACGGAGACTAACAGCGGACGAAATGCATCTCGAAGTGCAATTTACGAAAGCAAAAGGCAGCCTGCAGACAGCGAAGGAGGCAAATAGACAGCTGGTGTTGTTGGGCATAAAAACGCATCACACGCGCTCTCTCTCTCTCTGGCTGGGAAGAAAGACTCGCAATCACACGGAAACTGGGTTGGGAGGGGACAGAAGGCGCTTAAGTCTTGATGAGCTTGACTAGGGAGTCCACGACCGCCTTGTAGGCACGCGTCTCCCCGGACAGCTGCTTGAAGCGCAGAGCGTAAGTGTTGGTGCCAAAGTACTGGTTCACTTCCACACCGACCCTGAGTTCCACTGGAAGGGCTCTTGAGCGTTTTCCACCTGCACCTGCGGCACTTTTTGACTCTATGAGAGCGGCGAGGGGCGTGGAAGCCGGTGGAGCGGTTTTGCCACCATCGGAAGCCGGCGCCACCGGGGGGAGGTGGTAGACGAAGTTGAGACGGTAATCACCGAGTCGAAGGAATTCCACCTGGCTGGCAATCAAAGCCGCGATGACCTCGTTAATGAGACGCGTGGGATCGTTGCCAGTCATGCGAGACTTCCGAGGAAAAGTAATTTTCCGTGGCTTTTGCCCCCAGGAGGTCCTCTCCACACGACTGCTGTGTGCGGCGGGCTGCGGAAGAGATCCGGCCTGTTTCCTGTGCCGTGCGTCCTCGGTAGTTTGCGAACTAACAGAGGCATCACGCGAATGGCTACGCCCCCTACGACCGAATGGGACACAGCCACGGGTAGTCTTCTTCCCATCTGTTGGGGAAGAATGCATCACATAATCACAAAATCACATGCATATATGCGCATGCATTGAAGGCAAGCATTCCAACAAACAACCGGGAGTCATACAGGTTCACATATATATATATATATATATATATATATATATATATATATATATATATATTGGACAGGAAAGAGGTTCTTCGGAAAAAAATCGAGTTGTACTCGTGAATTTTCGAATTCATTACACCAACCCGTCGTCAGACGAAATGAAGAGAAAAGAGAGTGAGACAGTCACACTAGACTAGTAGACACGACAGGACAAACATTGACGGGCGGACCATTAGCGTGTGAGATATGCGGACAGGGAGTCATTCTGGGTTCTGAGCCGGGAGGGCAGGAAGGGGGGGGGGAACAGTTACGGCTCCCGTGTTGGAGGGGAGGGAGAATGGTAGGTTGGCAGAACTGCGGACACAGTCTTAACTCGAGTAAAGGATTCTATCACCAAGGAGAAACAGACTAACGTCATCTATCGCATCCCGTGTGCCAATTGTCCCTGCGTATACGTTGGTCATACAGGACGAAGCCTGGGAACTCGTATTAATGAACACAAATTAGCTGGCCGTCGCCGTGATCCACTGTCCCTCGTCTTTGCACACGCACTCTAGTGCGACCACCGTTTAAACTGGGATAACACCGAGGTCATCGCCACGGCCAACACAAAACGGGCGAGAGAAT